AATTACGCAATTAATCGCGCTATTGTTTTTATGAGAGTTTTTTTAATCAAATGAATTAAATTGTTCTAAGCTTCTATTTCACGGATTTGACTTCGGTAAAACTTTTTAAAAAACGCTATTGGATGTTTTTTATGACGTCAGCAGGCATCATTGTTTTTTGTTCAGTAGAATTTTTCCCATGTCTTTTTTTGGTCCTCTCATAATTTAAAAGCATTAAATCGACAATATTGTGTTATATTTGAACAGATGTGGTTAGTTAGCTCTCCTCCTGCTTTAAACCAACATTCCCCTGAAGCGCACATGAGAACTACCTGGGAAAGCTGATACCAGCTGTTCTCAAGGTCAACCAGTTTGTAAGCAATGTAGACTGCATGTGTGAAATTTCACGCCTTGTTAAACGAAAGAATAACAATCCTTACAGCTATATTTTTCAAATAAAAGCATTTATTTTTCTTTAATTATAGAAACGAGAGAATATCTTTAGGACAGACACATTCGCTTTCATTTATTTTAAAAGTAAAAAAAATCATTATTTTTATAAGAATATACTATTTAAAGCGAAAATTTAGTAATGCTGATTTATTTATTAATACCTATATCAAAAGAGAAAGATATATTTCAATCTTTATAAAAGTTATTAATTTTAAAGATTTTAAATATATTCTACAATAAAAATTGCTTAAACAAAAGTTATTTTAATCCTTCAATCTCAAACTCAAAAATACAATAAACTCCCGTTTTTATAATGTAATTGGTTGGTGAAAAAAGACTTCATTAGGAGAGTTCTTAATGAAGAGAGCTCTTCTCATAGGCTCAGCGTTATAAATTGAGGTTCTACTTCGGAAAATATTTTTAAATTATACAAAACCGCATCGAAATAACTAAAAATAATGTACTCAGATAAGCTATTTTAAGAATCGTACACAGAAATTTAAAACATCAGGATTTCTTATATAAATTATGAGCGTAAAAAATGTTAGAGTGTAGGCTTATATTCATTTATCGTTAGCCTTCCACCATATTTGATTAGCTCATCCCCGTTAATTAATATGAAAACAAGCAAGAAATTTTTATTGCGTGTTTACTTGATTAAAAAATAAAATAAACGGACAAATTACAAAAATAATTCTAGGATCTAATATAAATAGACTATAGTTTTTTTTTTTTTTTATACAGGATGGTCCAGAAGATAGTTAATACTGTAACTGCAAGGCTAAATTGCAATTAATTAAATTAATTAAAATTATTTCCTACAAATTTTTGTCAGAGGAAAAGACTTCGTTTTAAACTCGGTTTACAATTTATATAGGCTACACAAGTGTATCTGGAACATATAAAAGAAAACATGGTTAGCTGACTTTTAGTCCACCCTGTAGCAACATATTATAACAATTTTCTAATCGAAAAGATCGAACTAGCTTTTTCACGCTCATTTTATTATCTTCAGATACTTTTAAATTTGGTAATTAACTTCAAAAACTAATTTCTTCTGTAAACCTTCTGTAAGTAAAATTAATTACAGAATTCTACCGAAATTTTTTATTGTTAAAATAAATATTTACAAAATAAAAATTAAGAAAAGTATCGTTTTATAGCAAGATAATTCTAATATACTGAATAATCGATTACTCTGAATTTATTCTTACTATTTTATTATAATAAATACGGAATTAAAATTGTCAAGTTTACTAACACTTAAAATTATTAAAATTATATTAATTGAAAATTATTATTGTTTATGTATATTTATACAGTAAACCACAAAATACAGAAATAAATCTGTCTAAAGTGGAATCTACAAAACAGAAAATAAATCTCGAAACGAATGATTTTCTATGTAAAATATTACAACTCGAAAACCTGTTTAATGCCGAAACAGAAGACTTTTTGAGTACCAATTGCATAACATAATCTGAATTAAATGGAATTTTTTGGCATTATGAACCATAATGCTATAACTTGTGGGTTGGAATTAAAGTCGACTTATCGACGACAACATTACAGTCTATCTTATTATTATTTTTTGTTTTCCTTTGTTAAGATTGTAATTTCATTGCCTGAAAAACGGCCGTGACAATATCCGTTTCTCTTTACTCTCTAAAAGACCGAACTTACTTTTGAAAAGATTAAATACAAATATAAGTGTTGATAAAATGGAAAATGCCAAAACGGAAAATTGTGCCGGTACGATACTGGCCGTAACATTCCGTTTTAGACAAGTTTTACTGTCTGTTTTTATTTTTACACTTCGCAAAATTAACGAGTAAATTTATATAATTGCAATAAAAGTTATTAATTTCTTTTAATAATTTTAATTCTTCAAAACGATCATCAATATCTGAAGAAAAACAAATTCATTTTTAAAACAAATACACCGATTCATAAGACACTCATTACGTTTTTGGAAAATACTAGAAAGAAGATCGGTGTCCTTCATCTATATACTACGAGAAAGGTAATTGAAATCAGAGGGGTGCGATAGATGGACGGATGCTCGATTCAATAGCCTAGCTATTTGCTTAATTTATAGCTCTAAGACCTTCATCTTCTCCCCTCATTTAAACCAATTCTCTCAGACTTCGAAGTTTATATAAAATTGTGATTTTTTTAAACTTTTAACATCGAATGCTAATGCTAATCTAATGCTAGATAACTTCGAGTACAGAGTAGTATTCGCTCCATAATCAGAGTATACAATCGTTTCGATTCTTTTAAGTTTTTCATGTATTCGAAGAAGTAATTTAGGATAGATGAATCTATCCTAAATTATAGTTTGGTTACGGAACCCGACACGTGGGCGATCTGCCGAGAGGGAAATGCTTCCTAGGAGGTCTTTTAAGGAAATTAAGGAAAACTGACCCCTATTTAGGTGTTACTAATGTGAAGAAAACCCGGAAAACTCCACGTGGCCAGCATGTTGACCGGGAGCGAACCTACGACCGACTGACCAGTGTTTAGTGGTTTTATCCACTCGGCCACTGATGGGCCTCCTATCTTACGACATATTTTTCAACTCAAGTTTTGAGACTGGGTTCTTTTCGTATCGTGACGTTACCAAGTGGATGAAAATTACCGAATTGATAGTGACGCGTTCGCGTCTGACCAACGTAACTGGACACAAATTTTCCGAGTTTTCATAACGTTTCTAACATTATAAATAGGCACAGAATGTCCTTCCGGGAGGCTCTCTCTCCTTGGCAGATCGCCCATGTATTGGTTGTCTTATTCTATCAGAACAAATACAATCCAGTCCTTTTCAAATCCCCTCGAAAGAGGAAGGGAACAGAATACGTTAGTTTCTTATCGTTTTTTATTAACTTGGCAGAAGTCTATTTGTTTTTAGTTACGAAGTTTTGATCTTGTCCGAGCAGTTTTTGTTTGTAGTTCTTCGGAATTTAATCAGATTTTTTTCAAGAGAATCCTAGCTTATTCTTCTATCATTCTATTCAAGTAGAATACTTTCATAGAGTCGAATATATTTTATTTATTTATTATAAACAATTAATCGTATCGGATAGTTGAAGCGATGGTTACTATTGACATAAATGTTAGAGAAATCCTTGCGAGAAAACTTTTTCCCATTGTTTCGATATCGATTTCTTAAACTTCGATTTTAATGACGGTAGATAATAGATTTCCCATATCACTTATAACAAAAGTTTGTAATTACTGAAATTGTAAATCAAGATATCATGTTAATAATATCATACTATTGATTGCATACAAAAGTATGATATTAGCTTCAAGTTACAAATGTCTTGTTGATTTTATTCGTGCCTTTTGAAATATGATGGCACTTTATATTTGTGATTGACCTAAGCCCATGACATTCTATCCAATATATTTATATAAGCCTTTACCAATATATAACAGACTTTGAGTAAGTTTGTTACATATCGGTAAATTAATAAAATGTACTTCAAAAATATTATTATTATATTTTATATACACAACTTGTAACGAACTACTAATTGATGTGTAGAATGTTTGAAATCCGAATCCTATTTATTGTGATATCAGCAATATATGCGTTGCTTCCTTTTTTTAACATTAAAGACAAAAGACAAAAGATTCAAGTCCAGATCTTGGAGTTTAACACAAAGTTCTGGTGCATGAGATGGGTCATAGTCTCCCAGTTAAAGAATAACGTGACAAATTCAATAGATTGTACGCAGTGGCTCCTCGAGTCTACGAAGTTAGACTGAATACGTGATAATTGGCTCTGGGAAACTGATAAAGAGATAATTTTTCAACTCCACCTTATAACAGTCGACAATCTAAGGACAGATGTCAGAGATGCTTTAACGATTTCCAATCGTCAACATGAATGATGACGTTTAGAAAAACATGAGAAAAATTATGAATTTTTCCCATGCATATACAGTATATTGCTTTTAATTAGTATATGTGGATATTTTGTAGTCACTTTGTATTTTTACTCCGACCACAAATTTTTATACTCAAAAAGTGTTCATTTCATAATATACAGTACTGTACATCAATCGTAAATAAATCAATGCATAAGTAAGTAAGTAGATGGAAAGCATCAGCAGGTAAGAATTATATCATTTTGTTCGAATAATTTTCTTCAAGTAATTAAAAAATCAAAATGCTTGCCTAAATGTTTTCAAAAAACTGGCAATAATCAAAAGCAATAAAATAAAGTTTATCTAATTATGTATAACAAAAATCATTTGAAGAAAATAGTAAATATCTGGATTTTTGTCGACGTATCGGACTTATCAAATTACTCGATATATCTTCAAAAGACAACTTTTATACATTAAAAATTAAGACGAAATCTACTAAAATCCACCTTACAACTCACTTTCAAACCTATGATATATGATTAATTAAGATAATTTTGGGGTTCTCTTTTCATTAAGTTTAAAGTTGTATTCAATTTATAAACCTTGATTAAACATTGATCTTAAAATAATTTTCAAAGAGAAACTGGTTTTAACAAATCAGAATTTTTCCAATAAAAATTTCAATTTTACCATTTATAATAGTGCATCTCAATCATCTTCCTTATCACAAAAATGCTGGCGTTTAGCCTAACTTATTATACTATAATAACTGTAGTTAAGAACATAACAATTGCCATATTACATTGTTATCAATGCGAAGCTAAGTCTAGCAATATTTGCCGAATATAATCATTTATTTTGATAACCATTGAAAAGAGGTTTTGGACGAATAAAACAAATTTATTTTCTTCAAATTTATTTCCTTCAAATACATTCACCCGAGGCCAAGAATCACTTAGAAGAGAATTTCAATTTACACATCTTTTATTTAAATAGATAATAACAACACACACTTATATATAATGTTGTTATTACAAGTATCCTATTGAACTTTTTAAAAATATCCTTTTATCGGTTTCGATTGTCTTCTTTCCGTTGTTTAATTATAATGTAATAATTAACTGATTGAATCTATTAATAAACACTCTCAAATGCATAAAAGCATGTTCTACATGTTACCGAAGTTAACCGAGTTCAAGTCGCGTCAAGAGTTGAGTTAAAGTGTACTTAAATTTTAGTTCATTGGGAAGGCATTTGGCTTCTCGACTTTTAATTTTCCTTTTGAGTTATTTGTTTATTAACTCTAAAGTTTTTAAAATCATAGTTTAACATCCCTGTACTTCGATACCAATTTAATTAAAATCAGTTGCACACTCGTAAGTATAACGAATCGAACAAAATTTCAACTAATTTTTTTCACGTCAGATATTATTATTATAGAGAAAGGGATCGAAATGAAATTTGCATTTCGCATATACTATTTTTCTAAAAGTGTGATTCGTTCTATTAATAATATGAAGATAGTTATATGAAGACAAGACGACCCGTAACCGAACGGATATACGCGACATACGAAATTAATGTTCTAGTTTAATCGATTGTTTCGGTTTTCAGTTTAATGTTTTACCGGTTTGATGCGGAAAGCAAACTGAATAAACGAAAAATTTCTCTGTATATAATATCAATACATCACCCTGGCCGATTTCTCTAATTTCTGTTGTAGAAATATCGCCAGAGACACCCGTTTTATTTTTACCTAAGGCTATCCACAAACGAGGAAATACTACATCGCAGTATATTCACTCGATGTAACGACCTAAATAGTCACGATTACTTTAATTATTTTAATAGTATTAACTTATCTTCGAATTCGCGCTAAGCCATTAAGTAGGCTGATAAGTTGTAAAACTTTATACTGTAACAGGTTAGACGTGCCAAACTAGGATTGCGCCTACTCTAAATCGTTCTGATATTACGGTGTTATATAATAGCATATCATATAAACAACATAAATCTTATTGTTCTGTATATTAGTTACGGTTGTTTTGATTTAAAATAAATATTATCACCATTAACTCGGAAGTAAACGAACGAGGAGAAAATAAAGGAACAATAAGATAGAGGGGCTTTTCGCGTTATTTCTTCGAATGAGGACAGTCTAACATGTCCCATTAAGAATTCGCCTGTCTGTCTGACAAACCTATCATCAGTATAGAAATTATTTTAAAAAGTCATTAGGAAAGAAACTAAGAAAGAATCAGGAAAAAATCGAATCCTTCCTCCATTTGGTTTCCTCAAGTTGCTCTTTTAAACGTTTGTTTGTACCAGATTTTCAGCGGTGTACCGCAAAAATGTCAAATGTTTTTCTAATAATTAACTATGCTTTTAAATTTAACTCAGCTTTATAGTTAACATAGATAAAATGATTAATTCGAATTTGAAATATCGTTTCTTTCCGTCGTTTCTTTTTAGGGGGTGGCGCGGCATGTAACAATGTCGTCCTAGTGTTAAGTTGACAGTGAGTAAAATCGCCGTATTCAGTGATCGCTGATAACAATGTGTGGGAGATACTAATGTTTATATTTAATTAAAAGGATACTTTTTTGGAGAGGGAGAGACAGCTTCAATTTCTGTTTTATCTTCCCGCGCTATTGTCTGTTAGGGTAGTTTCGAGTGCAGTACTTTCGTTCTTATCCAAGTTAATTAACGATTTCTATTAAGTGCAGCTTTACTGTATTCATGTAGCCTTGCTTAAATAAACTAACACAGTTCATACGAAACCATTATTTTTTCACCAGTTTAGTTCATTTAACTTATGTAAGTACTTTATAAAATCGTTTATTTTTGTAGAGATGAATAAATAAATAAATTTGTCATATGAAAATGTAAATCAAAACCGTGCTGATAATGAAGCGGAACCAAGTACAGTACGTTAACACTTCTACTCCAAATGAGAAGTCAACATATTCGAAAATAAGTAAAATTAATCGCCAATAAAAGGTATAATATTTAAAAGTTTTACATGGAAGATGATAAAGAATGTCCAACACCAAAGCGTATTGTGGTAAAAAACTTACCAAGAGTGCAATAGATAGTGGAATTTCAACATCAAATGTAAAAATTAAACATGCAAAATAAACAAAAGAAATGTTTCGATAAATTATGAAAATATTAGATAAAAGCAAAATGCTACATACAAAGTTTCAGAATTACTGGCAGTAAAATTAAAACCACAGACTATGACCGAGCCATTAATTTTACTAATTTATTGTGAAATAATCGGTATTTTGCTTTGTGAAGCGGAAAATATAGAAATAATAAATATTCCTCTGCCAGATAACACCATTCAAAGAAGAATAAGTGATATGGTGTCATTTAAAAAAAGTTGTAAAGTAAGTTTCCAATGCAAACTTTGCACTTCAAATTGATGAATATGTAAGTCGGAAAGCGCACTCGATATGATTTAGCAAATTTGTGAATGAAAACGAAGAATGGGAGAAGATATATTTAACTCAATTAATTTTTACTTTGAACATTTAAACGTGCCCTAGGAGTAACGCGTTGAAAGTTGCATTGATGGAGCTCCATCAATGACAGGGATGAAATAAGTTTTTGCTTTTGCAGAAAAAATAAATAGTGAATTTTGTTTTAATCATTGTTTCTTGCATAGGGAAACACTTTTTGCAAAAACATTACCTATAAAAAGACACGAATTTTTAAGTAGCTTTGCTTAGCGATGTAAACGAGATACAGATGCCTAAACATAGAAGTTGAGTGTCAACAGGACAGATGGAAAGGTGTTTTTCCATGTAATGAATTGCTTGTTTTCTTTGGGAATGAAATGAAATATGTCTGCACAATATTTTAAAAATGGATCTGGTAAACTCAGTTGGCCAATTTTACAGATTTATTTACTTATTTAAACTTAACAAATACAAGTATATTCAAGAAAAAACTATTTTGCCATCCACGAATAAATTATCAACATTTTAAAATAAGAATAAGCCTATCTGAAAAAGACGAGTGTCAGAAAACAATCTAGACATGTTTACGTCCGTAAAAATAAAAAGATAATCAAGAATTTATCCGAGTTTTCTTCTCCAAGTCTTATTCTCTTTCTTCTCTTTCAAAGAATTGAAAAGCAAAACTGCATCGTCCATAAGAATAGGATGATTTATGCGGTCACCCAATTATAATACCTCTAACTTTGGTTCACTCTGATACAAAAGTATTATGGTACAAAGGTATATAGACTATGTTCCTTCATAACATTATTATATTAAAATGAAATGTTTGTTTTAAAATGTGTAAATGTATTTTAAAAAACATTATTTCATTTTAATTGGCCGGCAAAATACCCTAAACACAGTATGCATCACAACGACAGACTGTCTGTCCTCACTACGTTCTTGTCAAGAAACGGGGCACGAAGTACTAACAATAACATTTGAAAGGGAAAAATATGGTTTCTGAAAGCGCACCATTTAGTTCCTAAATTCAAAATATAAAATAGGAAGAAAGTGTAGGCGGGAAATATATATATATATTTCCCGCCTACACTTTCTTCCTATTTTATATTTTGAATTTAGGAACTAAATGGTGCGCTTTCAGAAACCATATTTTTCCCTTTCAAATGTTATTGTTAGTACTTCGTGCCCCGTTTCTTGACAAGAACGTAGTGAGGACAGACAGTCTGTCGTTGTGATGCATACTGTGTTTAGGGTATTTTGCCGGCCAATTAAAATGAAATAATGTTTTTTAAAATACATTTACACATTTTAAAACAAACATTTCATTTTAATATAATAATGTTATGAAGGAACATAGTCTATATACCTTTGTACCATAATACTTTTGTATCAGAGTGAACCAAAGTTAGAGGTATTATAATTGGGTGACCGCATAAATCATCCTATTCTTATGGACGATGCAGTTTTGCTTTTCAATTCTTTGAAAGAGAAGAAAGAGAATAAGACTTGGAGAAGAAAACTCGGATAAATTCTTGATTATCTTTTTATTTTTACGGACGTAAACATGTCTAGATTGTTTTCTGACACTCGTCTTTTTCAGATAGGCTTATTCTTATTTTAAAATGTTGATAATTTATTCGTGGATGGCAAAATAGTTTTTTCTTGAATATACTTGTATTTGTTAAGTTTAAATAAGTAAATAAATCTGTAAAATTGGCCAACTGAGTTTACCAGATCCATTTTTAAAATATTGTGCAGACATATTTCATTTCATTCCCAAAGAAAACAAGCAATTCATTACATGGAAAAACACCTTTCCATCTGTCCTGTTGACACTCAACTTCTATGTTTAGGCATCTGTATCTCGTTTACATCGCTAAGCAAAGCTACTTAAAAATTCGTGTCTTTTTATAGGTAATGTTTTTGCAAAAAGTGTTTCCCTATGCAAGAAACAATGATTAAAACAAAATTCACTATTTATTTTTTCTGCAAAAGCAAAAACTTATTTCATCCCTGTCATTGATGGAGCTCCATCAATGCAACTTTCAACGCGTTACTCCTAGGGCACGTTTAAATGTTCAAAGTAAAAATTAATTGAGTTAAATATATCTTCTCCCATTCTTCGTTTTCATTCACAAATTTGCTAAATCATATCGAGTGCGCTTTCCGACTTACATATTCATCAATTTGAAGTGCAAAGTTTGCATTGGAAACTTACTTTACAACTTTTTTTAAATGACACCATATCACTTATTCTTCTTTGAATGGTGTTATCTGGCAGAGGAATATTTATTATTTCTATATTTTCCGCTTCACAAAGCAAAATACCGATTATTTCACAATAAATTAGTAAAATTAATGGCTCGGTCATAGTCTGTGGTTTTAATTTTACTGCCAGTAATTCTGAAACTTTGTATGTAGCATTTTGCTTTTATCTAATATTTTCATAATTTATCGAAACATTTCTTTTGTTTATTTTGCATGTTTAATTTTTACATTTGATGTTGAAATTCCACTATCTATTGCACTCTTGGTAAGTTTTTTACCACAATACGCTTTGGTGTTGGACATTCTTTATCATCTTCCATGTAAAACTTTTAAATATTATACCTTTTATTGGCGATTAATTTTACTTATTTTCGAATATGTTGACTTCTCATTTGGAGTAGAAGTGTTAACGTACTGTACTTGGTTCCGCTTCATTATCAGCACGGTTTTGATTTACATTTTCATATGACAAATTTATTTATTTATTCATCTCTACAAAAATAAACGATTTTATAAAGTACTTACATAAGTTAAATGAACTAAACTGGTGAAAAAATAATGGTTTCGTATGAACTGTGTTAGTTTATTTAAGCAAGGCTACATGAATACAGTAAAGCTGCACTTAATAGAAATCGTTAATTAACTTGGATAAGAACGAAAGTACTGCACTCGAAACTACCCTAACAGACAATAGCGCGGGAAGATAAAACAGAAATTGAAGCTGTCTCTCCCTCTCCAAAAAAGTATCCTTTTAATTAAATATAAACATTAGTATCTCCCACACATTGTTATCAGCGATCACTGAATACGGCGATTTTACTCACTGTCAACTTAACACTAGGACGACATTGTTACATGCCGCGCCACCCCCTAAAAAGAAACGACGGAAAGAAACGATATTTCAAATTCGAATTAATCATTTTATCTATGTTAACTATAAAGCTGAGTTAAATTTAAAAGCATAGTTAATTATTAGAAAAACATTTGACATTTTTGCGGTACACCGCTGAAAATCTGGTACAAACAAACGTTTAAAAGAGCAACTTGAGGAAACCAAATGGAGGAAGGATTCGATTTTTTCCTGATTCTTTCTTAGTTTCTTTCCTAATGACTTTTTAAAATAATTTCTATACTGATGATAGGTTTGTCAGACAGACAGGCGAATTCTTAATGGGACATGTTAGACTGTCCTCATTCGAAGAAATAACGCGAAAAGCCCCTCTATCTTATTGTTCCTTTATTTTCTCCTCGTTCGTTTACTTCCGAGTTAATGGTGATAATATTTATTTTAAATCAAAACAACCGTAACTAATATACAGAACAATAAGATTTATGTTGTTTATATGATATGCTATTATATAACACCGTAATATCAGAACGATTTAGAGTAGGCGCAATCCTAGTTTGGCACGTCTAACCTGTTACAGTATAAAGTTTTACAACTTATCAGCCTACTTAATGGCTTAGCGCGAATTCGAAGATAAGTTAATACTATTAAAATAATTAAAGTAATCGTGACTATTTAGGTCGTTACATCGAGTGAATATACTGCGATGTAGTATTTCCTCGTTTGTGGATAGCCTTAGGTAAAAATAAAACGGGTGTCTCTGGCGATATTTCTACAACAGAAATTAGAGAAATCGGCCAGGGTGATGTATTGATATTATATACAGAGAAATTTTTCGTTTATTCAGTTTGCTTTCCGCATCAAACCGGTAAAACATTAAACTGAAAACCGAAACAATCGATTAAACTAGAACATTAATTTCGTATGTCGCGTATATCCGTTCGGTTACGGGTCGTCTTGTCTTCATATAACTATCTTCATATTATTAATAGAACGAATCACACTTTTAGAAAAATAGTATATGCGAAATGCAAATTTCATTTCGATCCCTTTCTCTATAATAATAATATCTGACGTGAAAAAAATTAGTTGAAATTTTGTTCGATTCGTTATACTTACGAGTGTGCAACTGATTTTAATTAAATTGGTATCGAAGTACAGGGATGTTAAACTATGATTTTAAAAACTTTAGAGTTAATAAACAAATAACTCAAAAGGAAAATTAAAAGTCGAGAAGCCAAATGCCTTCCCAATGAACTAAAATTTAAGTACACTTTAACTCAACTCTTGACGCGACTTGAACTCGGTTAACTTCGGTAACATGTAGAACATGCTTTTATGCATTTGAGAGTGTTTATTAATAGATTCAATCAGTTAATTATTACATTATAATTAAACAACGGAAAGAAGACAATCGAAACCGATAAAAGGATATTTTTAAAAAGTTCAATAGGATACTTGTAATAACAACATTATATATAAGTGTGTGTTGTTATTATCTATTTAAATAAAAGATGTGTAAATTGAAATTCTCTTCTAAGTGATTCTTGGCCTCGGGTGAATGTATTTGAAGGAAATAAATTTGAAGAAAATAAATTTGTTTTATTCGTCCAAAACCTCTTTTCAATGGTTATCAAAATAAATGATTATATTCGGCAAATATTGCTAGACTTAGCTTCGCATTGATAACAATGTAATATGGCAATTGTTATGTTCTTAACTACAGTTATTATAGTATAATAAGTTAGGCTAAACGCCAGCATTTTTGTGATAAGGAAGATGATTGAGATGCACTATTATAAATGGTAAAATTGAAATTTTTATTGGAAAAATTCTGATTTGTTAAAACCAGTTTCTCTTTGAAAATTATTTTAAGATCAATGTTTAATCAAGGTTTATAAATTGAATACAACTTTAAACTTAATGAAAAGAGAACCCCAAAATTATCTTAATTAATCATATATCATAGGTTTGAAAGTGAGTTGTAAGGTGGATTTTAGTAGATTTCGTCTTAATTTTTAATGTATAAAAGTTGTCTTTTGAAGATATATCGAGTAATTTGATAAGTCCGATACGTCGACAAAAATCCAGATATTTACTATTTTCTTCAAATGATTTTTGTTATACATAATTAGATAAACTTTATTTTATTGCTTTTGATTATTGCCAGTTTTTTGAAAACATTTAGGCAAGCATTTTGATTTTTTAATTACTTGAAGAAAATTATTCGAACAAAATGATATAATTCTTACCTGCTGATGCTTTCCATCTACTTACTTACTTATGCATTGATTTATTTACGATTGATGTACAGTACTGTATATTATGAAATGAACACTTTTTGAGTATAAAAATTTGTGGTCGGAGTAAAAATACAAAGTGACTACAAAATATCCACATATACTAATTAAAAGCAATATACTGTATATGCATGGGAAAAATTCATAATTTTTCTCATGTTTTTCTAAACGTCATCATTCATGTTGACGATTGGAAATCGTTAAAGCATCTCTGACATCTGTCCTTAGATTGTCGACTGTTATAAGGTGGAGTTGAAAAATTATCTCTTTATTAGTTTCCCAGAGCCAATTATCACGTATTCAGTCTAACTTCGTAGACTCGAGGAGCCACTGCGTACAATCTATTGAATTTGTCACGTTATTCTTTAACTGGGAGACT